ACACACCATACTGCACCACACACACCACACCACACCAAAACACCACACCACACCATCCCATACACTGCGCACACCACACACCATACCGCACCACACACACTTCACCACACACCACACACCACAACGCACCACACACACCACATCATACCACACCGCACTGCACACATCCGACACTACACTGCACTGCACACTCCACACAGCGCCACACCGCACCACAAACCATGCCACACGACACATCGCACCACACACACACACACCAAAACACACACCACACCAAACACACACCATACCACACACACCAGACACCACACTGCACCGCATACACCACACCACACACCACACACACCACGAACTGCACCGCACACATCACACACCATACCGCACCACACACACTACCACGCACCACACACACAACACCACACCGGACCGCACACACCAGACACCACACTGCACCGCACACATCACACACCATACAGCACCACACACCACCTTACCACACCACACAACACACCATACACTCCGCACACATTACACACCATACCGCACCACACACTGCACCACACACCACCACGCACCACACACACCACACCACACCGCACACATCAGACACTACACTGCACTGCACACACCACACCGCACCACTCACCATGCCACACCACACCACAACGCACCACACACACACCAAAACACACCACACCACAAAACAATACCACACAACACTACCACATCTCACCATCCACTACCACACAACACCACACAGCAATTCACGACACAACACATCAATAAACACAACGCAACGGAACACGGCATGAAACGCAGCACATCACACCAAACTACATCATACATCATACCATACTACACCGCATCACACCACAAAAGAGATCACACCACACCCAACCGATCCACACACCTCACTACTGCATCACATCTCGATCATGCAATTAAGAAAACACATCACGACACACCACACTACACCACACATCACCATTACCAACCAACCAACATCTTACCATCCACTACCACACGAATCGACACGACACAACATATCACTTAACACAACGCAACACCATGCAACGCAGCAAATCACACCAAACAACATCATACACCATACCACACCACACATCACACATAACGTCTACAAAACACCACTTCACACCACTCAACACCAAACACCACAACAACACTCACATACTACATACCACCAAACCATACCACACCTAACCAAACATCATCCACAAGACACACTCACACATCGCATCGCATCGCATCGCATCGCATCGCCCACACCAGACCACACATCACAACATAAACACATCCACATCCTCAAATTTACCCTACCTACACCGCACGTGGTATAAAGTGCACGAACTCAGAATAGCACGACGTAGCGGTAATCTGATATTCTTAGGTTCGAATCCACAGAGTGAACCATTTATTATTGCAACAGGTGTGACATCACAAAGCCATGCATGCGCACCTGCCTGTAGTTCATATGATTTTATGACGCTTCATGGATGTTTCTTTGTTATTACATCACGAAATCAGCAATATTCCAGCCGCATGAAGGATGTCTGGGACATAATCTGGACCAGACAATCTAGTGATTGATATCGTGAGCAACGATCCACGAATACGGGTTATCAAAACACGCAAACAACCAAGTCACCGTGTCTGACCATCCGATCTGTTACGTCCTCTCGTACGCTCAGTGGTTCAACGGGACCAATTCTAACTCGAAATTCCAGAGGGGTGGTATTGGTGAACATGGGTGAGTCTTTCCAGGAGTATTACATCCACGTTGGGGCAGGCGCACGAAGAATAGGCTTCCAGATAAACCCATGGGGAATCGAACCCTTGTCATTCATGACGAACCACCCTATCGCACCGTTAATCCGTGATAATCCAAACATAATATACAACACAACTATGACAAACGGTTTAAACACTATATATTTAATAACAAACAATAAGGTTTTAATGCAAAATTATTTGTATAAAAATTTTTTTTTTACATTATTGCACCTGAGGTATTACTCAAAACAATGAATATATATAACAATTGTAAAATGGTAAAAAATATATTGCTTGTCATTCAGAAAATATAATCTGAATATGAAATACCGATAAAATATTATTTAAATATGATATGAGTGGAGGGTTAATTCATCCAAAAAGATATGGAGCAATAAGTTTAAGATTAAAATCCTTTTTTGAAATATCAAAAACACGAATATCACAGAATTAGCTACATTTCAAGGGATACATATTTGGCACTATTTCTTAATTATTCATATTTGGAATTATTTCATATTGTTTAGGTAATAAATCATTGATGACGACTAGGGCCTTAATCTTTTCTAAATAAAAGCTTACCATAATACATATTTTAGATGGCAATTTGCAATAATAATATTTTTTATTAGATATTTCAAATATTTTGACCATGCTACATTTTTATTTATTCAAATTATTTGAGATTATGTTTCGCCGTATCAAGATACGTGATATATTTACTTACCTAGAACCTAACCAGTACATTCACATAGCAATTTATATATTTATACTTCAGATTAAAGATTGAAAGAATTATAACTAAAACTACTCATTATTCATCATAAATAATTTCTTCATATATTGATGGTGTCTGCGTTACAATGGAAACGATTTAAGAACTTAAGACACTATCTGTTTTAATTTAAAAACATCTAACTTTTTATTATCTCATTTTAACTTAATTTATTTCACTTTTTTGTGTTCAAACCACATTACAGGACTTTTCCCATGTTGGTACGAGGGTTAAAAATTCAAAGAATTTTGTATTATCATTTTTGTAAGCTTTTGATTATAAATTTATAAAGTATAACAAGATTTATCCAATTCAGAAATGTACATCAATCACTCTGTTTGATAGACACATATAATCATTCTCAACATCCCATAGTTTATTTACAGTCTATTTACTCCCCAAAGATATTAAAACAGTGCAGTAGAGAACGAAGATTGATCATGACCATTGTAATTATTTTGCCGTGAGAATTATTTTTATGACTACTTTCTGATTTAGATTTATATTGAACACGATCACTGTAATTATTAGCCTTTGAAAAAAGCGATTTTATTGGTACTTTCTGATTTAGTTTTGTCTTCTGATTGAACATCATCACTGAAACTATTTAACCTTAGAAAAAAGTGATTTTATGAGTATTTTCTAATTATAGCTACAGATTTTATCATCAATGTAACTATTTAACTTTTGAAAAGAATTATTTTAAGGGAATTAAACTTTAGAAGAGACTTTAGATTTAGAATTCGTCTTAGTTACCGTCTTATTTAATGATTTTTATTATAGTTAAAAATGTTCCAAAATGGCCCTTATTTCCTATCATATTCATAATCGGTTTTATTTTAGACCCGGACTTTCTTTTCCCCGGCCGGTGCTGGTGCTGACTCAGACACATCAGAGGCTGCCTGGCGTCTCTTGAGAGGTCGCCGACGTTTCCTGTGAGTCTCCGGCGGAGTATCGAGGGGAGTCTCGTCGTCGCTGTCGGCCCCGAAGACCTCCCTGACCAGCTCAGCAAAACGACGTCGCTCCGCCTTGCGGAGAGCACGCCTCCTCTTCCTCGACTCCTGCTCCTCCTCCGAGTCTTCGTCGAAACATGCCTGGGAACAAACACGTGGTTGATAAAAAAAATATGTCGATGAAATAAATAGTATGGCGGCGGTGGTTTGTTATTTGTTATTTGTTGAACATTTGTTTTCTTTCTTGCCGTCATCTGGTCTGACCACCCGGTATTTATAGTGACCTCTTACAAACAAGCAAAGGTTACTTGGCACTCTACCACGGGGTGACCATGCACTTACAACAACAATTAAACAAAATATCTTTAAATTCTATTTTTATCGCCTTTAGGGGTTTGTTTTGAAAAAAATATATCCATAAACCAAGTCCCTTTGTGTTGCTAAACGCCGCACACAACAACATTCCAGCTATATTACGGCAGCCTGTAAATAATCGAGTCTGGACCAAACAATCTAGTGATTGATATTGTGAGCCACGATTGACGCCGTAGGGGCACGGTGACACGCTATCAACCCAGTCACCACCGAATCTGACCACCCGATCTATTTTGTGGCCTCTTACGACCAGCATCGTTTGCTTGGGATCAATTCTAACCCGGTATACCCATGTAGTCATACAGTATTGACTCAATAATCGGTGTTATTTACGACGTTGCTGGAACATTAAGATTCCCAATTTCGTTCAATTCCCTCACCCACAAGACCCGGATTGAAATTACAGAAAATTGTGTGATAAACTCCTACCTTCCTCTTGGTCGCCATCTTGGGGGGCTCGGTCATATTGAGCTTGCCGAAGCACCTGATGAGGCGACGGGGAGCGCAGGCACGTGGACGTGGTGGGCCAATGCTGAGGCGGCTGAATGGTTCGACGAGGTCATCAACCTTTCTCCTCTTGGTGCTCTTGCCCTTGCCCTTGCCAGTGTAGGGTACGGGGGCAGGAGGCGGTGGAAGCAAGGCCTCGTCGTCTGAATCGCTGCTGGAATCATCACTCTGGAACAAAGATGGAGGTATAAAGACACATTCATCAGGTCTATCCTTTAAAGGAACAAAATCCGTGTTTAGTTGTAATATAATTTTTTAATTGTAGGTGTAACTGTAATATTCCACTAGTGACATTAGAAGTGAGTGAGGAAGTTTGGTTTTGCTCCGCTTTGAACTTTATTTCATTTATATCACGACGTGTCAAAATGGTGAAACCCCGAAGTGATGCAGGTCTAAGATGTTTGTTTAAACACTTTAGTGAAACACACGAGCACGGGTTTGGTGCTGGCAAACCTAGACTATAATCAGGTTGATCCCAAGATCACAGTTTTCTGGCACGCCAAAGGGACAATTGGACCACTCGCGCTCCATTACATTAGAAGTCGATAAAGTAATACATGTTACAGAACTTACAAACGAACATTTTAAATTGGCCAGATTTACACTGATGGAATATTTACCTCATCTTCGTTGTACCAAACCCTGAGACCTCGAGCCTTGAAATGATAAAAAAAAAGAGATGAAGTTGATGAATAATGACGAAAACACACAATACATATTACATTGCATAATGGTAACTATCAAACATTTACTAGGGCCCGTTCCACAAAGCGATCGTAGGGCTACGACTGTCGTAAGTCTATGTTTAAGTATGGGAGTTACGATCACCTTAGCGCTACTATCGCTTTGTGGAACGGACCCCTGGTCCATAAATGAATTCCACGTATTCCAGTGCTCTGGTCCAAAACATGCCAAAATCTGTATGGTCTTGTAGCTTTAGTTATCATGTAACTAACAGTTTATATCCATTTAGTCATACGTGACATAAAAAAAGAAATTATCAATTAATTGTAAATTGGACAATACTTAGTTCAAACTTCTAATATTAATATGTTAGCTATCTACAATCCCGTTATATCACAACAACATGGTAATATAATCCTCAATTTATGTGTGTACATCATTAAAAAAAAGTATCTTCTATCATATTTCATAATCAAGAGCACCATAAAACCCCTACCAAATTATCTAATATCGAATCACACAGGACAAATGCAGGGTCACAACCTACCTGAGGACCATATCTAGTGATCGTAAGTCTCTTCTCAAGGTCAGGGTCAAAGGTGACAGCCGAGGAGGTGCCGGGAGTTTGTTCGAGGCAGGAAGATGACGATCCATGAGCAGCTGAGCCGTATCCTGAACTGGAGGATGATCCTGAGCTGCAACCTGAGCTGGCAGCTGATCCAGAGCTTGATCCAGAGCTTGATCCATATGCAGAGGTGGTGGGGGATCCAGAGGAGCATGGAGATGTCTCAGCACTTGGTCCAGACTGAAACATACAATATGTGGCCACAGTGAGCATTGTCAGGTTGTGTGGAGGACAATGAAATGGGGTTACAATAATGTGATACATGTTACACAGGTTAACATTTACGGATTTTTTTTAAATGTATTTCATAACCAGGAATCTCAGGTGCCTTTTTAAAAATCATTTTGGGCTTGTTTATTTTGTACCTAAGAATGTACCCCATCTTGGCCAACGATACTGAATTTTGTGGTCCAAGACGACAAAGCTGGTGGTCCAAGCTAACTAACCTTGTGGTCCAAGATACAGGAATGATCCACTTCTGGAGTGGGGTGGTCCGAGACATCGTCTTCCTCACTGCTGGAATCCTCGTCCTCAGAGGAGCTGCTGGATGAGCTGTTGGATGAGCTAGAGGAGCTGTTTGATGAGCTGTCAGAGCCGCTGTCGGATGAGCTGTCGGAACCGTTACATTTGGCACATGGGCTGCTGTTGCACGTGCTGCTTGAAGATGATGAGGCATCATCCCAGTCTGAGTCTGAGCTGGAGTCTGAGCTGCTCCCCGAGTCTGATAATGGCAGGGCCACAGTAGCAGGGTTCACTTCAGTCTGTAACGAGATGCAAGAGGAATGATTCATGAGGTTCATATACAAATGCGATACACATATGTCTCTGATACCAAACTGCATTTTCCCTTATAATCAAATTATAAAAAAATACCTGGCTCGAGTCACATAAAAGGAAAATTCTTTGGTTTCTTTCATTATCTGTACATCATGGTGAATATGTAATGACAACTGGTTTTAAAAGACTTAAGGGTATCTTATAACAAATTATATTAAACGTGACGTGATATGTACGTTTAAGATTAATCTCATTCATATAAAAACATTTTGTCCCCTGTTCTAAACAGTCCTGTTGCACGTTGTTTCCTTAACAGCTCATCGATCATGATAGACCGACATCAAAGGTGTTTTCAAAAATGTCAGCATGTAACTTTACCTTGTTCTGAGAATCAGTTAGATCAACCTCAGTCTGACGTGAAGCGGGGACAACCTGCTCTGAGCTGAAGGCATCAATCGCTCTAGGGGAGACAACCTCTTCTTCCTCATCTGATGACGGCAGAGGAGCAGCCGCAACCTGCTTCATGGAGACGGAGAAAACCTGCAGAGAAAAAAGAGGCAATGGTTAACATGTCCGTCCTGTACTAGCCAGATATGTGTTAATGCAACATATGATAAAAAATATGTATAAAATGCATTCCAAGTTTCTTTTTTAACACCCTATAAACAATCCAAGTTGAACTTACATTATTTTATATTCGGCTTATTCAGTACCTGAACGTGTTCAGGCTTAGGCATTTCTCCGAACTCGGACAGCAGGGGCGCTCGATCACTCATGGGGCGTCGAAACAGACGAGGGTCCCGGGGGGACACACGGTCACTGAGGGCGCACAGCTTGTGTCGGTAGATTGAGACATGGCGTGGTTTGCTGGGGTAGACGCCAAGCTGGAAGCTCAGATCCATAGGCAGTGACTTGTCCGGGAGGCTGAAGGAGACTCCGTCGGCGAGGACCGGGGGTCCAACACCAGGGGAGGTCCATCCTGAAAGCAGAGAGACAGGACTGTTATTCACTAGCATCAGAAGAACATGAACTTAATGTACAGTAAACTACGGTTATAACGAACACGCTTATAACGAACTGACTGATGTAACGAACTTACTTTTTGGTCCCGACTACTTGCTGTAGTCATGCTGTATATGTTCATATAACGAACTACGGTTATAACGAACTAAAATTAGTAGTCCCTTTGAGTTCGTTATAACCGTAGTTTACTGTAGTATGAAGTGAGTGAAAAAGTGAGTTGTGGTTAACGCCGATTTGAATAGTATTTCCTTTATATTAATTCCAGCTTGATCTGGGTGGAAAGTGATGCTTGCGAAATCTGATGTTTGTTGAAACTTACTAGACGGCAGCGTTAGAAATTATCACTAGTCCTGTAGTCCTTGCCAAACTGCCCAATAGTTAAGGTATCATAAGGGCTAGTAGAAATTTGCCATTTTGAAGGGTTTAGCTATGTTATCATTATAAGGACAAGTGGACTGAAACTGTTAGTTTCTACTACTGGACGGATATGAATCATATGAAACTGTCAAGCCTAGAAATATTATACAGGCATTTGAACCCACGATCACAGGTTTCGAGCACGCATAAGGGACGCAACTCTGGACAGTGAATTGCGGTGACTGAGGCAACTTGTCCACATGTGCTCCACTAAATATATAAACTACCTAGGGTATACCAAATACATGCAGTGTTCAGTAGTTCTAGTGAGAGTAAATTGCGTTTTACGCCACTTTGAACGGCTGGGGAAGTAGAAACGTCTGGTCGACTCTAAATCATGGCATAATGTATGGTACTGTATTTAAAATAAAGATTTTAATGAAAATAAATTATAAAACGATGTACATTTTACAAACTAAATGTTTCTTGTATTCTTTTTATATGTTTTTTTACATGTATGGGTGTGTGTGTGTGTGTGTGTGTGTGTGTGTGTGTGTGTGTGTGTGTGTGTGTGTGTGTGTGTGTAAATAATCATCCAGTTTGTCCCAAGAGTTCACCTATAAAGAGCAGGGCTGCTGCTTTGATGACCGCAACTGTCATATGTGACCAAATAGTGAACTAATAGAATACACTATTCATCATACTGCTTGGATGCAACTGGGTTTGTTGCATTTACTTGCCAAAATTGTGATTGGGGATAGGTGGTTAATATCGTGGAATATATGTTTCGTGCCTTCTAATATTGGACCATATCAGACTATCCGTAGTACTTTATTTAGGTGATCAGTACAACATGTTTTCAGATTTTCTAGGACATGAAATGAATCCCATCAACAAATCTCATAATTCCTCATTAAATTTGGTTATGACATGCATGAAATTGTATTGATGACACCAGTTGAATCACTGGTAACAACAATACACAAAGGACAAGGGCTATGGTCAAAGAAACAATTACACTGTCCTATCTGTGTCAGTAAAAGTAATGGTTTTCACATTTTTAGCTACAAAGGCTCTTCGATAAGGCAATAACGGCACCAACCCTTTTTTCATAAAAAACAAGCATTCCTATTAGCGGAAAAACTTACAGTCTAAGGATTACATATTGTACAGTATTGCCAATACAACTCGGGAAGTTGGTCATGCTTGTGATGTTAGTTTGAGTAGCCTTGTAATTACTAATTAATTCATGGATACATAATTCATGATAGACTCAGTAAATTGATAATGACAATTCGCATTTGTTTTTACTGAAATACAAATTCAACTACAACTTACTGCAACATTTTAACACGTTTCTACATCAGGTTAGATTCCCTTTTTGGAGAACTTCCTAATATCATTTGATGACAATAAACTAACTTAGGTGTTATATTTTTTGTTGGAGATGTTATAAAACTTTAACTAGCTGCTTAAAATTTTTATCATCATTTGAAATCTTTCGTTAAATAATTGTGCTTTTGCATTGTGAGCCTATTCTGACACAATATCCTCCCAAAACACTGTAAATCCAAAAAATACAATTTACAGTAGTTTTTTAGGTCATCGGGAATTTGGGAATTGATCTATGGTTACAAACGAAGTACACTTGGCAAGAAATTTGGGATAAATATGTTGTTTAAAATTCAGATTGTGGAAAAGTTATTTTTTTTCTTCAGTTCAGATTTCTTTAAATATTGCAAACACTGCAACAATTTTAAACTAGGAATTAAAACCTCTTCCCTTTATTGGTTAGAGAAATACAAGTCACCCCAACAAAGCGATAAAATGAGTCATGAAATAAAATACATAACTCAATTTGAAAATGTTACTGACATTTCCTCCTTACAGAATATCGGCCTCTGAGCACATCTCCTATTCTCATACTAGTTATATATCTGAAATCTGTATACGACATTACAAAGAAAACCGAACAGCCTCAGCCCCAGTATACCAGTAGCTTCCACGTGTCGTTTTTATTTAATAATATGAATTCGGGGGCTAAAAAATAATAACGGTATGCAATGTATCAATATTTTGTCTTCCGTTTCTAAATTACTATAAACATAGGTCTCCAGTGTAGGGTCATATTTTATGGCGTCCATATGAATTACGTTATGGTTCCAGTAATGGTTCTCGTAACGGTTCCAATAGGTAAAACAAGCAGGTTTGCTTATCTGGAGATCTGTACAAACCTTCCTTCGGGATATATTTCGGGAAACTGTGTAGTTTATCAATATAATATTCAGTGCAACATATCAAGTTATGTGTAACTTAAATGCTAAAATAACATTAGCTTTCTCGCTATAATAAATACATTTCAAGTTCAAATAGCAAATTAAACATCGCTTACTGCTCTTTTACTGGGACCATAAGGCATTTATTGATAAATTCTATTTTCTTGTTAATTATTAAAGGCATATGTTTAAATACCAAGTTATCTACATAATTAATATCTGCTGAGTGATCCTGCAGAAAGTTTGGTACCTTAAAACTTGTAACAGTATGCTTTAATCTTACATTGCAAGTGTAACGCACTGAAATAGTTATTACTTTCGTTCCCCAAATGTGATATCAAAACAAATCCCTTCACTCAGAACTACAGTTCCATGTCCCACTACCCGTCCCAACATTATTCCACTTAGTTGCTTGTAAAATGTAACAACATTACTCACTCAAATTATTGGAGCCAAATAATAATCACAATGGAATAATATATACTTCACTCATGAAAAATTCTTCCACACGCTGTAGCTTTAGATGCATGAAGTTTGTAGAAATCTACCGCTACTTGAGTTAAGTTCTACAAACAGTGATTTATTGGACACTCTTGTGCCTTCATATTATGATAAACTCCAACAACATGGAGTGTTTAGCAGTAACTTACAGTACAATAGAAATTATGGAATAATTATGGTATCATACTGAGGTATATACAAACATTCAGCGGTACAGAATTGTACATGGGAATGAAGAGCAACATCAGCATTGCAAGTATACAAAATATTATTTATTTTTCATTGAAAATGTTAACCACAGACACCGGAGGGTGAACACAAGAAAACACAAAGATGAAATAGAGATAGAAGTTATGCTGGTGATGAAACAAAAGAAGATACTTAGTTAAGATACCGATGGCAAATTGGGGCTTGTCAGGTATTTACTATATTACTAATAACACCTAGGTCCTGTTCATAAACTGGCGCTAAATATATAATAGTCAAAACCACAATTGCGCATTGGACTAGGACCAGTGGAAATTACATACTTGAATGTTTCTCCATATTCGGAAGCGGGATTGCACACAAAGACAATGGTAGGTTGTCATTTTACGTGTCTGCAGCACGAGTATGCGTAAGAATCAACTGCTCCAATGGACTTACTTTCTATCAAGGTGAGATAGGGACTAAACTATGCTCTTTTCCATATTGTTATCCTTCGAGGGGTTTTATATGGCATCAGTAATTCGCCATCTTAGTTGAGGTAACATTTTCGACTTTAGCTAGCTTTATTGTACCATACTGACTGATGACTAGGCACGATTGGTAATTACTTAGGTCTACACTTCGGGGTTAATATTTTGAAAGAGTTAAAGATAAAGCTCAAACCAAAAATTATCAACAAGACAATAAAAAGGCACACACATCGAGACGTAGAAGAAGACAAATAAAGGAAAGAAAGCAAAGAGATACCTGAGACAAAAGAGAACATAGGGCAAGCAAGAGAGGAGCAGCAACAGAAGTGTTTGAAATCAAGAAATTCGCAGTACTTTTCAGCACAAACGAGGCGTGTTATCAGAGTTTTCCGTTCACAGTGAACAAAGATGGCTGATTGAAACGACCGTTGCTTAGCAACCTCCCACCGAGGTTATCACGCGATATTTGGTTGGATTGAAAATGTAAACGGGAAATATATCCCGACGCTTCCGGTCGGTCTGATTAACAAAATCAGGTTTCGCGTTTGCGGGTTATCAGACGCCCATTATAATCTACGTCACATTTATTTCACACTCACCTGCGATACATAGATCTACATCCCTGGGGAATTACCCATACATTTAACATCAAGTGACACAATATTTAATTGTCTTTGTCACTGATACAAATGGTCCAGGTGAAACCAAGCGAAATAGATCATAAGAAACGAACGCTGTGCTTGGAAAACTGTAGATCTACTTGTTTGAAATGTAAACAAAGCAAAATTCAGATTTTAGCGTGTGTAGCATTTTCTCTTATTTTGAGAGGTCTATTCGTCTGCCCGTTGCATACTTTGGGTCAATGCATGGGAAGAGTATCATAGCAAGAATTAGGGAAAACATACAAGACAATGATTTGGTCCATTCAACAGTCAGAAATTGTCCAAGTTTCCGCCCTGCGTGACACCGCCACGACTAACGCAAACGCACAACGACAATGGTACTTCTACTAGATCTACTGACTAATTCTCTTGGTTACAACAAGAGTCATCCGAAGATGACATATCCCCCCGACGTGGCATGTCGGTAAACTGTGTGTACCTTCAAATGTATTTAGATTGGCAAGGAAATCTTTTTCCTTGATGCCAAAACCAGAAATATAATGAAGGTTATTAAATATTTGTTCATGTAGCTCACTTTCTGATGATCTCAAATGTCAGGGGCTACAAATTAAAAAGATTACTAGTGAACATGATTGATATGTGCATAAGTTTGGTGAATCTCTGTCGCATGGTTTAGAAGATATGCTCCAGACGAGGACATTACCCTAAGTTCATCAATTTTCAACTTAAATTGAAAAAAGAAAAAAAAAGAAAAAATCGGTTAATACTAATAGCAAAGGCACCACTACATAACCTGCTTGATAGGTGTAAAGATATGGTCCGGACAAGAGCAGTGCCCTCAAATTTCCTAATTTCATCATATTTCCATGAAAACGACAAAAATATAAAATTCTAAAAATCTCTAAATAGCAAAAGGCACTTCTACTGAGCCTGATTGGTAAGTGTACCAAGTTTTGGGAAGCTAGGTTGGACGGTTTAGGAAATATGCTCCGGACAAGAGCACTACCCTCAAATTTCGTAAGTTCATTATATTTCCATGGAAACGACAAAAATATATATTTCTAAAAATCTCCAAATAGCAAAAGGCACTACTACTGAGCCTGATTGTTAAGTGTACCACGTTTTGTGAAGCTAGGTTGTACCGTTAAGGAAATATGCTCCGGACAAGAGCACTACCCTCAAATTTCCTAAGTTCATCATATTTCCATGGAAACGACAAAAATAAAAAATTCTAAAAATCTCTAAATAGCTAAAGGCACTTCTACTGAGCCTGATTGGTAAGTGTACCAAGTTTTGGGAAGCTAGGTTGTACGGTTTAGGAAATATGCTCCGGACAAGAGCACTACCCTCAAATTTCCTAATTTCATCATATTTCCATGGAAACGACAAAAAAAATAATCTAAAAATCTCTAATTAGCAAAAGGCACTACTACTGAGCCTGATTGGTAAGTGTACCAAGTTTTGTGAAGCTAGGTTGTACGGTTTAGGAAATATGCTCCGGACAAACACTGATTACAGACGGACGGACAGACGGACATACTGATGGCTATATCCCCCCGTCATATGTCTTGGGGATAATAAAACATAAAAACATATAACAATACACGACACATTTATGTACATATACGATCCCTGAATCAACGAAAGTCCTCCTCTGAAAGTCCTGCGTACAGCTGTCAGTGAACACGCCATTTTGTAAAAGTCACCGGTTGTGATGTGATAGGTAAACATTGTTGTACATGTTTTCGTAATTTATTCGAGGTGAATAAACGCGCATACAATCATAAGTATTATCCAGGTGCTTTCGCTGTAGATTGTGCGTATCTTTTACATTTCACGCAATGAATTGCTCTATGGATATTTATTAAAGTTCAGTATAATATCATACGTAGATCTAGGCCACAATATATGTGTGAACCTTTGATGTTTTCCTGGATTTTTAACCTTATTTAAAAGAAACTGGCAAAATATGTGTCTTATACCAAATTTCTTACCTTTAGGCAAGTGTTAGAAAATAATATGTAAATGAAACTAAACTCACTTAAAAGACCACACACAAAGACCAGTTTCACAAAGCGATCTTAGTGCTACGACTATTGTAAGCCTATGTTAAAGTATGGGAGTTACGATAATCTTAGCGCTAAGATCGCTTTGTGCAAGTGTGCCCAGGTTGTTAACTGGTGCCTTTGGCTATTTAGAGATGTTTACAATTTTTATGTTTTCAGTTTCCACGGCAACAAGTTTGACTTTGACACTGTTCATAGTGGTGCGTTTGTCTGGACCATACCTCGAATGGGTATTTTTCATGAAACTTTGCATATGAACAGACCAGGATGTCAACTGGCGCCTTTCTCTAATTCCGTTCCCACGTTAAAACGTTTGACTCTGTTCATATTGTTGTGTAACTGACATAGAAATACAAAGTTCCCAATCCTAAATCCATGGTATTGTTTTGATACTGAAAGCTCAATGACTACTCTTGTATACGGACACATTAGATAGATATTCTCTTTTCAAGTTGACTTGACTTGTTCTTTGATTTGTGATTTGTCGTCAGAGAGCATGGCTACACCTGACCAAAATGGTTTGCTGTCATTTTTTCTTCAGGCACAACACCCAATTATTAACAAATATATTTCGGTAATGTGATTTGTCCAGGCTGATGTATATTGCTGTCGGTCTATCTTACTGTTATGGATGCATGACACGCACGGAGCCATGTACATCAGCGCGTGCATCTTCCTCACGGTCATGCCAGTCCCCTCCCCTGTTTTATGTAAACCTGGTTTCCCAGTTGATTATTATTTACTTTATATTTGTTTGCACTGGTTTTCACTTTGTTTACAAACAGTGATACCGCCGTATTGACAATGTTTATGGCTGGCTTATTGGAATATTTCTGATTTCATATACTAATCGATTGATCCAATTACTGGTGAAACTTCATTTGTTCACCCGTCCAGTTGAATGTAGCAATACCAATATTATTTAATATTAGATTCTATTATTTGAATCCATACTAAACAACTTAACACAAGCTGACTTCTTTCACATAGCATGGCCCGGATTACAAATTATTCATATTCTTGGTGAATCCGTGATGCAGTAATATCGACACCTACGTTGTAAGGATGCTGTAAAAACTTGTTTCAGTCTTAAACATTACTTTGGCATTCTGAACCACATAATTGCCCGTTCGTTCAGAACACAACCCGGCCAGAGAGTGCTGGTTCTCTTTGAAACACTGTCGCTCCCTCACCCATACTATTCCTGACTGACATTGTCCTTTCCATTGAGCGATAGCTCATAGTCTATGGGTGTCCAATAGTGTAAAACGTTAAATGTCACTCAAAACATAATTCATTATGCACTAAGTTAGTTGATAAATTAATGACAATAAAATGTATATTTACAGCTAAAGTCAGGTAGCAAGTTTAACTTCAACTCACTGAATAGCATTTAACAGGTTTTTACACTAGGTTAATTCACTTTTTTTGAGCTTATCCTAATATTATTTGCTTACAATAAGCTACATTATGTATCCGAACATTTATTTTCTGAGAGGTGTTATTTACAATATGCCCCTAAATTCTGAAAAATTGTTCCTCGAAATCATGCCTCCTACAGTATAAACTCGGAGGTTGTATTATACTGTACTAGTTTATCTGTATGCAGCATAAAAATAGCAGTCTGAGTACCAGTTTCATCGGTTTGGGGGTATTTTATTTTCTGAATTCAAGGGCTAAATTGGAATTATGTGATGTAACAATATTTGGGCTTCCTCTTCAAAATTACCATACAGCTAGGTATCGGGTGTAAAGTGAGTGAGTGAGTGAGTGAGTATGGTTTTACGCCGCTTTTAGCAATATTCCAGCAATATCACGGCGGGGGACACCAGAAATGGGCTTCACGCATTGTACCCATGTCGGGAATCGAACCCGGGTCTTCGGCGTGACGAGCGAACGCTTTAACCACTAGGCTCCCCGACCGCCCCCTCGGGTGTAAAGTCGTATTTATTTGTGTTCATGTTACTATCGCAGAAATGGTTATTGATTTTAACTTTAGGGTTCCAGTACGTAAAACATACATGTATGCTCATCTGAAGTTATGGACCTTCCTTCCTTCAAGATTTATTTCTTGAAACAAAAGCGATTTACGAAACCAGTTTCTAAATATTATTCATTATGTTGGTTAAATGCTTAAAAAGTTTCTTTCTGTAATATTTATATTTCAATTTTAAATAGAA